TACACTGCAGATGAAAATCTTTTTCTATTCTTGGACATTCAAAATGTCCTATTGGTCCTCTGTTGTGGCACTGAACATAGAATATTTATGTTTGACTCCCTCACTGTATTGGAGGATTGACACAGTCAGTGCCTTGCTCTTATGTCTTATTTATCTTCAATATTGTTTAATATCTTCTCAAGTACCGAAATGACTTTAAACTTATGGTGAAACGATGATTGATCACATAAGTGAATAAATGAATATTAGATTCTCCATAAGTGTTTCCACAAAGTGGTAAAATTTTACTTAAAAACACTTCAGTAAAATCTCACGAGGTTACTACAGAATCAAGTGAATAATTATAATAACTTTTAAAACCATATATTGTATGACAAGGGATAAAATAATTTCGAATTGGCAGATTTGCTTATTTACCATCCAGAATAGTGAATGAGCTCCTACTAGGGAAAAGGGAATGTTACTACTAAATTCATTGTGATATTTGATTGGCTCATTATTAGGGTTCCTTTCATAGTAAAAAAAAAAAAAAAATAACATCAAACAACATCCTTACCCAGGCATAAAACCCATGCCTACAGATTTATTTGCTTGTACCTAACAAAATATCCTTTTAGTGAAGACCTGGGAGGAAAATTTCCTCAGAGAAGTCAATACCTCACTCAGCTCTTGGACTCAATAGATGCATGTTCAAAGGCTTAAGAAACATTTACAGACATGTAAGAGTATTCTGTTCACTGGCATTATAAAATTACTTCCTTATATCACACTCACACCTTGTTTGGGTTGTGATTGTTTTTAGCTTTACACAAAAAGCTAAAAACATAAGGCCTGCCCAAAATGCCTGAGTGTGTTGTTACATTTCTATTCCGTGAACCATCAAATTATTTGGCACTCATTGAGTTAGTTTGTCCAGAGTAAGTAAAAATGTTAGCTTTCCATTGAGTAATTGATGTAATTCTTTTTACATCAATGTCACATGCAAAGGAGTGTGTCAATGATATAATACTTTAATTCTTCCACTTAAATGACATTAAGTCATTTTGCCTTGAAAAAATGTAAAGATAATTTGAATCTAAATAATTTATTTCTTTATGTATGTCGAAGAATTTTTATGTTTGTTCAATTCCCCCAAAATTTCTGATAACTTTGTATTAGTTTAAATGAAAATAGTTTCTAATGTAGGCAAATTTTTTAAAAACCCAAAGCAAATTGGAGTTGTCAAGGCAAACATAACTTCTTGTCAATGTTATAAGGTTAGATTTTATTCAAAAGGACTTGTGAGTCTTGGTAAATAAAGTAACAGAAACACTGAATTTATTGATTCAATTCTTCCTAAATTATATTAAAGAAAATGTAGAGGAAGTGGCCAAACATTTGGTTGTGAAAGGTATTTGGTTCTGAGCAAAATAAAAAATTCAAATATAAACTTTGAAAAAACAAACATGCAACATCATTCCTTCCATGTATCTCAGAAAGTCTGTTATGAGAATATTGTTGAACCTGAAACTCCTCAGAACAATATTCCAATGCTATATCAGTTGGAAGCTCTTTATGACAGCATCTGCTTGTGTTTATAGCTACATATGTAGACTACTGAAAACCCTCTGCACACCATAAATGTAGGAACTACATGATTGGAATGGTAATAAACTCATTTGTGATACATTCTCTAGAGTTTTCAACCCCTGTCTTCAGTTGGCAAAACTCTGCTAGATTTTTATTGCAGCAAAAAATATTAGATTGTCTGGGTTTTTTTTTTTTTTTTGTAACTTTGGGGATAAACCAAGAAAGCACAAAATGGTAATAAATAAAGATGAAAACATAGGCACTGAGATTGTCGCAATATTTTAAAGTTACAGTCTCACAGAGAGCTACAATAGAACCAAGAGAAGAATAAATGAGAAGAATGAGTAAACAAATTACTGTTTTTCACAGAAGTTCAGCTCTAAATATCCTCTGTGGGTATGCTCAGAAGTGTTGAGAATACTGGAGAAGCTACAAGTTTTACTATGAAGACTGTGTGTTATAATCATCAATTAGAACAAGATTTCTTAACATAATAATATTTAATTATTATTAATAGTTAAAGCAATTTACTGTTGAAACCAGCACTTTCAAGACAGCCAATCCAGTTAATACAAGTTGATTTTTCTCTCAAATATAAGATCACAAGTGAAATTAATTTCTAAACTGCCAAGAGTTTGGGCCATTTTCTCAGCTTATAAGGAATGCGCTCCTGGCAAAATGTACAAGAGTGTGGCAGCTTGTTAGTTCAAAGCATCACTAACATAGCACCCAATGGCTCCATCTCATCTCGGCACTAGCGATGCGAACTTATCAACAGTCACGGTTCTCCAGGACAGGTGCTTGAGTCTGTCTGTACACAGAACCACTGGAGATCTTGCCAACATTCACATTTCTGGGGCCCAACACAATATAATATAATTCTTTAAGTTCTTGAAAGAAAAACTATAAGGAATGATGGTTGACTTAAATCATATGGAAGTTTCTGGAGAACAAAAGACAGAAGAGTTAGATGTGTGGTGTCAGAGGCTGGTGGATGGTGGAATGGAACCGCTGCAGCCCCATTTGTGATGCCACAGAGAGAATTTTTGACTTCCTACAGGCCTTTTAGTGCAAAGTGTTTCATTTCATTTTGCCTTCTTTCATTCTTTCCCTCTTAATAAAAATTATCATAGTGTTATTTTTATATACATACTATGGTTAATGGGCTATTGTTTGTTAATTTTTTATTGCTTATTAATTAAGTTTATTAATTTTAGTAAGTACACAAAATAATCACATCAATCATAAGGATTTGCATAGGTGCGTGATATAACTTGATATACTTTTTTTCCATTCACCTATTCTTTTCCTCCTCATTGTTTAGAAAAGGTTTGTTTCCATTTTTTCCCTGTTTTCTCATTTTTTCTTTTCCCTTCCATCCTTTTCTTCTTCCTCTCCATAGTTTCCATTCCCAATAGAACATTTTCATTCTGTTTCAAACAACCTTTAAACATTTTGGTCCAAACGGTTGCACCTTGAATCCATACTGCTAAGTGAAACAAATCAGGCACACATGTATAAATTCCACATCATTTCTCTGGTGTAAGAAACCAGAAGTGCAAATAAGACCCAAAATGTTTATTTCATTTCATGACAAGCTTTTTGCTTTTGTGCCCACTGTTAGCTCCCTGCCAGAGAGGATATGACTTAAATGAAAAACCACAGCAAGCAACTTTATGATCAGTATCCTCAATAATTGGAGTTGACTTTCGCTATATCAATTTCAAGTTATTGACTTTATCAGATAAAACTTAGCCGTGTCTTTGCTTGAACAATCATGCTATGAATTTAAAAGATGTGCTTTCCCAGAGATTCATCTAATCCAAAAATTGTATGCTTTAAGTAAAAGATGCCCATGTTTCTGCTTGGCACATAAAGAAACAACGTCCAGAATTTTGAGCACATAAATTTTTGGACATACGTTAAAAAATAATTCAGACCAGTTTAAGACCTAGGGAAAGAATGGCTGACTGGAATTATATTTAACATTACAAAAATTAAGTTTAACTTAGTTTCTTCACCTATAAAATACAGGAAAATATCAGCTATGCTCCTTAACTTTCTGCTTCATGCAATAGTTATGAAATTATAAATATGGGTTAAAGATGTGGCTTAGTGGTAGCTTGCTCAGCCTTGAATGTTTGAGCTCCAGCTACACACACACACACACACACACACACACACACACACAGAGTTTTATGTAATGATTATCCTTAATTTTTTTTCTTTTTACTCTTAAAGGATTGTTTCAAACAGTAAAATTCATCTAGTGGTGGAACTTTTAAGTAGTTTAATTACCTTTAGAACTTCAAAGTACCCACGTTAATTAAAAAATTATGAATGTTACATAATTTGTTTACTTGGATCTTAGAAATATGTCAAAAGAAAGAAACATGGCAACATACAAATTTTTTTTTTTTTTTTGGAACCAGGGATTGAACTCAGGCCCTTGCACTTGCCAGGGAAGCACTTATTCCACTGAGCCATCTCCCCAGCCCCAACATGCAAAATTTTAACTCATTCTTCTTCTTAAAGCAAAATAAAGAAAAAAATAGGAAAGTTTATTACACCAACCAATCAGAAGAATTATAAGAGCATAAATTATCTAGACTTTGATGCCTGCACTGACTTTCTAATCTGGGGCCCATCGCTTTACTGGTTCCTTATTTTTCTTATTGCTTTGTGGCTAAGAAAGCATGTAAAATATGCCCTAGTGGTGGGATAGCCCAATTCATGTGGAGCACTGCGGAGCAGCTTCATCATAGTAGCACTGGGAGTTTAATAAGGAGGAGGCTCTGATAGTGCACTTAAGGGGTCTGATTCCAGGACATGCTTGCTACACAGCTGCAACTCAACTGGGAACTGCAGTTTCACAAGGTGCTTCACTTCCTTGTCCTGAACTCCAGATTAGCAATGGTATGCTTCCAGGATGACAGGAGCAAACCAGAAGCAATTCTCAACCAGTGTCTACACCATAAATTAGAAATAGTGTTTGCATCCTTGACCTGGAACCCAGCAGTGGTTTGACCATCTTTAGAGCCACGGCCTACATAAATGGAAAAAAAAAAAAACCTCAGCAGAAAGGAAGTTGGAACTTTTGAGAAAAAATAAGAATCTACTTGGCTTCTTGTTGCTCCAGAGTCCTTGAATTTTCATAGGGATGCAAATAAAGAGGACATTTAGTTCTACCATCATAATGCACTATGACATGAGATTTGAAGAAGGGAGGGGAAAATTAGGAAGGAAAGAGAAAACTTTGAGCAAGTAGAAGTAAATAATTTAGCAAATAGGAGACAGACAGGGAAAGGGGGAGAAGAGGAAGACAGAGAGGAGGAGAAGGAGAAAGAAGAAGATAGGAAGAGAAGAAGAAAGAAGAAAAGGGTAAAAAGGAGGAAACAGGAAGAGAGACCAACCCAGGTCAGACAACTCACTTGGCATTCCCTGCTCCAGGCTTCTTTCTTCGGAAAATGTTGAGGAAAGTGTTGGAGCGGCAGGGCAGCTTGCCATCGCCCACGTGCATGCGGACTACGTCAGAGGTGGTGAAGGCACTGCGGACGTTCCTCTCGGGCTTGGCAATGATGATGTACATCTTGGGAGTGAACATGCATCCCAGGGCCACTGTGACACTTAGGCTCACTGCAAAGCAGGTGGTGATGATCTTGTAGTTGCTCCCAAAGTAAATGGGCACAAAAGCCAGCCAGATGATGCAGGTGGTGTACATGGTGAAGGCAATGTACTTGGCCTCATTGAAATTGGCGGGCACATTGCGGGTCTTGAAGGCATAGTAGGTACAGCTCATGATGAGGAGTCCATTGTAGCCCACAGGGGCCACCACGCCCAAGTTGCTGGTGTTGCAGATAAGATAGACTTCCTTGATACTGGGGTAGGACAGGATGGGCATGGGGGGCTCCATGATGATCAACGTCACCACCAGGGTCAGCTGCACACTAATCAGAATAGAGGCAATAATCACCTGGGCCCAGGCGCTCATGAACCGGGGCTTCCGGGTGCAGATTTTCTTCTTGCTTCCTGCCAGGATGCGTGCAATACGATTGGTCTTGGTGACTAATGCAGAGTAGCACATGGCAGAAGAGAGGCCGACTAGCAGCCGCTGGAGGTAGCAGGACGTGGTGGTAGGTTTGGCGATGAGAGTGAAAGGACACACATACCCGAGGAAGATGCCAGCTAGGATGATGTAGCAGAGTTCTCGACTTGAGGATTTCACCACAGGTGTATCCCGGTACAGCACAAAGATAAGTGTGACAAACAGTGTAACAAGAATTCCCAGGCAAGAAAAGGCGATCGCGATAATAGATTCTATGTTGCTCCATTCAAGATAGCGCACTGGGATAGGTTCACAGCCTGTGATGAGAAAAAACATTCACCATGAATCTAAGATTCTTGCTAAGTACTAGTAAGGGTGCTTGCTAGTTACCTGAAACAAAGCTATAGCCATGACCTTCATGAGTAACCGTATTCCATAGTCAAAGGCACTCTATTGTCCTCATTAGGTAGGCATGTATGTCCCCAGACCTAGTCTAATTAAAAGCCTAATATGAGATGTTGCTGAATCTGAACATTATCTTTAAACACCAGCATGATTAATAAATATTACTTTATAGGTGAAATTTAGTTCATCTAAAAAGTGGCCCCCAATTCTAATAAAGTTTAAGTGGTCGGCATTTAATAGAACAAGTTAGTAAGAAAGAAATTATGTCTTCTTAGACATGTTTTTGATCAGCAGAGTATTTTAAATGTAATTTTGACTTTCCTTTTGTAGAAGATTCTGTACTCTTCTGTTCACAGCATAGCTCTATATCAGAGTTAGAATCCCTTTAATCATGTCTGAGCTGTATCTGGCATGTGCAGGCCTTTGGGTTCATAGCTAATAGAGGGGTGGAAGCTAATAGAGGCTTTAAACCACAAAGAAAGTCTTCCCAAACACCTCATTTCTATTTTCCCTTTAGATGTAAAAGAAAATCTGTTTTGTATTTCAGAGTTAGAGAAAATTTCTTCAGGCTCTGGAGGCTCCCCTTCACTGGGTTTTGTTTTGATCTGAGCCAGCATTTCCCAAATCATGAGAGTAAACCATTTCCACAAATTTAGGAAAAAACTCACTGTTCTATAGTTCTACCAGCAAAGAACCACCAGAATGGGCTTTTTTTTGTTTTTTAGATTTTCATTTTATTAGAGAAAGAAAACAGAATTTTACCACAAAATAATGGGAAAATAGCAGTCGTTAATACATTGTATAGTGTCATCTTCAAAATAGTTACTCAGAGTATAAGAGCTGAGCAAAATGTTCTCTGGTCTGTGTTAACACAAATCTTTCTGTTCAGTGAACTAAAAGACAGAACGAGTGTCAAGCCTGTTCAGTCAACCACCCCAATCCTTCTCAGAAGCACGTTTCTGCATGTCAACCAGTAAGTGTTAGCCTTCACATCTGATGATCCCCCAGCCAGACAAGCTTACTTCAATTAATGACTGCCAGTGTCTCAGTTATTTTTCTCTCGCTGAAACAAAATACCCAACACTCAATGTTAAAGGCCTATTTAGCTCACAGTATGTAGAGGTTTCAGTCTATAATTAGCTGGCTCCAAGACAAGGTGGCATGGCAGATAGGCCTCACAAAGGAGAGACATTCTTGATGGGCAGAAGCAATAAGGGGGAAGACAAGTCTCTTTCTGTCCCTTATACCCAAGCAATGGGGATTAGGGATCAGGGTGGACTGATTTAGTAACCATCTACCCTTAATCCTGGAACCTTAATTCTAGTATAGCATTATGATTCTGATCTAAATCTCACACTTTAGATTCAGCCTCCTCTGACAAAGCCCCACCCATGATTGCATGAGGCTAAACACAAGCCATCCCAGCCAGCCAGCCAAGAAGTCTTACTGCCGAGATTCCACAGATGATGTCAGTCAGCTTGCTCTCTGAACGCTTATCAATTCTTAGCCCCTACACTCGGAAAAGCTCACGCAAGAGCAATGACAGTCTGTTCTGCTCAAAGAAAGCTTATGGAACACAGCCATCCCTTGTGACAGTGAGCAATAAACTCAGCTTGTATATTTTATTTTTGTTTTTCATTTAATTTCACACACAGTTGTCCCTCAGTATCCAAAGGAAATTGGTTCCAGTACCTGATTGGCACTGTTTCCAAAATTTGCAGATGCTCAGACCCTTCTATAAAATGGCAACATATTCTCATAGAAACCATGCACTTCCTTTTGCATGCTTTAAATCATCTCTAGATTACTTATGCTATCTAATACAATGTAGACAGTTGTTGCACAGTATTGTTCAGGATAACAATGGCAAGAAAAACATCACTAGGTACTGGGTACAGACACAGCCATCATAGTTCTAACTACAAAGTACAAGCTTTTTAAAAAATACAGCATTTACCCTAGTTTTTTTTTTTTTTTTTTTTTTCAGAACCAGGGATTGAACACAGGCCCTTGCGTTTGCCAGGGAAGTGTTTATTCTATGGTGCCACCTCCCCAGCCTTACCCTAGTATTTTTCATCCACATATTTTTTTTATATATTTGTGTATTTAGTACAGGGTTACAGGGTCTCACTACACAGATCAGACTCATAGTGATCCTCTTGTTTTCAGCCTCCCAAGAGCTGGGATTACAGGCACACACCACCACACCCAGTCTCAATCTCTGTCTCAGCATGCCCTGGAGGCAGCCAGCATAGCTTGTGGTGCCAGGCATCAAACCCTGGTCCCTGCATCTGCCTAAGCAAGTATTTTAATCCACTGAGCTATCTGGCTGGCCCTCATCCACAGTTTTTTGAACCCACACACACATAACCTGTGGATATGGTAGGTGAATTGTATTTAAGCTCAGCACCTTTGAGATTCCTAGTGATTTCACTGAGATCATTTGAAAACCTTCATCCGGTAATGTCTTTAGTGATGTTTAACCAACAGGTTCCCTGGGCTCCACAGGCCCAAACTGTGCACCACACACACCGCATCTGAGGCAGTCTCAACAATGTATTAGCTCTGGCTAATTTTGTTGAGCTCTTTTTTCTGAATTTATTTAGTTATCCTTGGATTTTTAATTCTGTTCACTTTGTATAACATCTTTAAATGTAAGTTTTCATGTAAATAACCCACAAATTTAAGTTTTGCATCTTTTTAGTTTGCAATGCTCTGTTTACCAACTAGACATGCTTTTTTATAAAGTCAAAAAACAATTTTGCTTTAGATGTGCACAAAATAATAGTCACTAAATAATATTTTTCCCTATCTGCATATTCCTCTACTATTGTGTATGTGCATGTGTATTTCCATTTGCCTAAAGTACATCATATTTCATGTGGTTTTTCAGGTTTGAGTTGGTATTGATTTGCACTGCCTTTTTCCGTTCATTGTATAAAGTAGAGCACTGAGATCAGATGAAGGCCTAGGCCTGGGAAGTGGCCAATCTATGGTGGCCAAGGGTGCCATTGTTTAGCAGGAGATCTGAGTAAATGGTTACCAATTTATAAAAAGTGATCACTCTTAGGTGCTTCAGGAATTTTTTGTGAGTTTACTTCTTATGTTGTAATATCGTGAAAGATTGCTTTGTTAACTGATTTTATAGTGTTACACTACAATTGTTTTCTTTGGGCAATCTAAGACATTATTCATAATTGTAGTTTGGATGGGCCATATTCTTCTCTGTCAGGAGTTTGTCGACATGAGTCTCTTTCCTGCTCCTGGAAGAATTTATGCTAGGATTGCAGGTGTTTTCCACAGTACCTGGCCTAACCCTAAATGCTTTTGTTTTCCTGTTAAAAGTTAGATAGATGATCCACAGACGGCAGGTAAGTAGATATGTTGATAGAGTGAGAATAACAATGTCCATTTAGTGGACTTCCTATATGACAAAATATATATATTAAATACTTAAGAGGTGATCTACACCAACTAGGAGGTAGAATAACAAACAGTCAATAGTCAGCACCTTTAATTGGCATACCAAGGCTGCCAAAAACAGGAAATTCAAATGTAGCACTTATCCAGGATGCTGTACCCTCTTAAAAATTACTGATTTCATTTTTGTCATTTCATATGGTAACTATGCCTGACTAAATGAACTTCTCTGACCTCAGAGGGCTAATCTGAAAAGAATGCCAGTTTTAACATTTCTAGAATCCAAGTCAGGTTATTGAATTTGAGTTAAAAGTCTGGTCTAAACCCAAATTAAGAACTATATTTAATTATTTTGCTAAACTTTGGAGGTACAGGACAAAATATGTGCAATAGGATTCAATATTTTAATTTGATAATGTTCTGCACTACAAATATGTTCCAGTTAATGAAATTAATCATTCAAAACCAATAGATAGAGGATATGAATAGCCCAATAGTGTTAAAACTTAAAAATGCCATCAACCTTTCTATATTCTATAAACTAAAAGGTAACATTCCATAGGCAGTTTAAGAGGCTTTTCCTTTCATAAGTATTAAAAATTGCAAACTAAAGAGAAAAATTAAGCTCAAAGAAACTTTCAAATAGTTTTGGAGTTGACTACAGAACAGCTTCTCTTCTATATATGGGCCGAGGCCTAAAATAATGGAACAAAAATATTAAAAGGTAAAACTGTTATTTTAAAAATCATATGATATTTGATAGATATTTTCAGATGATTTAAAAAGTAAATAAGCTATATAAGTCAATCTTTAGGAAACCAATTAAAAGTTTCTGTCTCCTATAGATAAGAAACCTAGAAATATCACTATCATTAGATATTGCAGACACAAGTATTATTTAAAGAACATTCATCAAAACCCAGAAAGATAACTATTCAATATCTTCCCAGTGACTTACTTCTTTGGGAAACACAAACATCATGAATTCCCTATTCTTCTGCTGAACTCTGAAAGGAAGCAGTATTTCTCCCAGCAGTAGCATTATTTATTTCTACTATGAATAGATCATCAGATACATTGGTTTATGGAAATTATTTAAACCATGAAAACAATATTATGTCTCAACCTATAACTAATACTTCAAGATTATTAAAAAAAATTTCTTCCTTCTCTGTGATAATTCCATCCCATTCACTAGACAGGATTTTATTTCCAGGTAAAATGAACAATAGTTCATACACGTGATCAAATTATATAGCTGCACTTAGAAATGAGAGTATTGATACCTATAATACGTATTTCTATAACTTAAGAAACAAATACTGTTCTAGAATGACTGCAGACAGAAAATTACAAAAGTATAAAATCTTCTACTGAAGCAGAGCATGTAAGTGTATAGATCATTATAGATACCTAAAGTATCATGAATCTTTCTGCACAAATCCATAAAAGCTACATCATTTCCCAGGCAAGTTTACAACGTGGAACATAC